AAAGAAAGAAACAAAGAAAGAAACAAAGAAAGAAACAAAGAAAGAAACAAAGAAAGAAACAAAGAAAGAAAGAGGAAAGGAGGGAGGGAGGAAGGGAGGGAGGGAGAGAGGAAGAAAGGGAGGAAGGGAGAAAGGAGAGGAAGGAAAGGAGGGAGGGAGGGAGAAAAGTAAGAAGGAAAGAAGGGAGGGAGGCAAGAAGGGAATGAGGAGAGGGAGGAAGAAAGGGAGGAAGGAAGGAAGGAAAAAAGAAAGAAAAGAAGGAAGGAAGAAAGCAAGGAAGAAAGGAAAAGAGAAAGAGAGGGAGGGAGGGAGGAAGGGAGGGAGGAAAGGAAAAGAAAAAGAAAAACTTCACAAATTCCCTTACAACAAAAAGAGTTGCAGACGGGTGTGGCAGAACATATAATCTTAGTGCTCCAGGGGCTGAGAAAGGAAGATGAATCTGAGAGGACAACTGGGCTTTGCAATTATGCCCTGTCTCAAAAGAGCTGTATAATTTCTAGTGGGCCAAAAACATGCAAAGAACAGCCCTGTTTGGGCTGAGGATGTGGCTCGATGGTCTAGTGTTCACCTAACACACATGAGGCCCTGAGGCTATCCACATCATCACACCCTGCCCACCCAATACACAAAGAGGTTCCTGTCTTTTCTGAAGCATTCAGGGAAATATGGCTGACTCTCACATGAGGCAGATCGAGATCAAGAGCAGCATGGTGAGCGACTGGGCAAAAAAAAAAGTGATATGTGAAAAAAGCAGCAAAGCAACAAAACTAAAAATATTGAAAAATAAGATGGTTCCATTAAATATGGCCATTAAAAAGCAGGCAGAAATCCTACCAAAGTCCCGGATGATGATCCCAGCACATGTCTGAGGACACACATAGTAATCTTCAACAGATCCAGAAGTGGGAAGCCTCAAACTTTTCTGTACTGTGATGTTTGCAATGAATCTTGGAGTCTAGTCTATAATTATTTGTACATTATTTCTACTACTACTGTGTTTAGAAATATGAAAAGTTGATTCTTTTTATGCAGTTGCATGTATTTTTATTTGAATAAGAACATGTCAAATAGTGGCTAGAGCGATGGCTCAGAGGTTAAGAACATGGCCTGGGGAAAAAAAAAAAAGGAAAAAAAAAGAACATTGCCTGTTCTTCCAAAACTCCTGGGTTCAATTCCCAGCAACCACATGGTGGCTTACAACCACCTATCTTGAGATCTGGTGCCCTCTTCTGGTGTACAGGCACACATGCAGGTAGAACATTGCATACAAATAAATAAATCTTTTAAAAAAAAAGTCAAATAAATATTTTTTTTCTCTTTCTCACACACACAGAGGATCCTTATACTTTCCAAGACCTAAGCAAAGAGAAAAATGATAGCTATGTCTAATCTACAGCCTGCATAATAAGGCTCAAGATAACTTTGAATATAGCACAACACAAAAACCACAAACTTACTTAAAATACCATGAGATATTTTGCCGTTTTCTTCTTCTTTTTTTGTAACTCCATTACATGGTTCTCAAGAATGAACTCTACAGATGATAGCAGTGTGCTATGATGTCATAAGTTTGGACATATTTGAACAATATTCTCCTATCCCAGAATTACACTTCTAGCAAGCAATAAGTCAATATGAAACTCACCTCAGATCCTGTGGCTCTCTTGATTCCAGATGCTGCTGCTTAAAAAAGAAAAAAGAACAATGAAAAATCTTAAGCATATATAAACAGTCACAAGATCTCTATCAAACTCACTGTAAGGATCAAAGTTTGTGCCAAACGAAACATGGTAATGAACTAATTGCACTAATAACAAATCCTTTTGTACAATACTTTTTTTTAAAAGCTCATTTAAAATAAAATTTACTGACCTATTTATTGTGTGTATGTGTGTACACACTCACTCATGTACGTACTTGTATGCCACAGCCTTCATGCAGATATCAGAAGGCAACTCTGAAGAATTGGTTATTGCCTTTGACCTACCTTTACTTATTCATTTATTTTTGTTTATTTACCAAAGTGAGCTACCACATCCAGGGATAAACTTGAGTACTCTGGCTTGCATGGCTAGAGCTTGCACCAGCCGAGCCATCCCTTGGGCCACTTTTTAAATGTTCTTTCTTCCTCTTCCATACTTAAAAGGGCCTTATGAATATTCCATTCTTAGCCTATCCCCTTTTCTAATTCATATGGTCACATTCTCTTTTCTTAATTTACTGTTATATGTTTGGTATGTGTGTCATATCAACCAAGAAATATACGTGGCAGTCAGAGGGCAATTTAGTTTGCCTGCTTGTTTGCTTGTTTCTCTGTGCGCAGCCCTGGCTGTCCTGGACTCACTTTGTAGACCAGGTATCACAAAGACACCTGCCTCTGCCTCCCAAGCACTGTAACTAAAGGCGTGGGCACCACTGCCTGGCTCAGAGGGCAACTCTGGAGTGAGTTCTCTTCTGGTACCTTATGTGGATGCTGCAGACCAAGCCCAGGTTATCAAGTTTGTGCAGTAAGTGCTTTACCCACTGAACCATCTCACCAGACCCATGTTAATATTTCATTTTTTATTGTTAGTTGTTGTTTTTTTCAAGACAGAGTTTCTTTGTGTAGCCCTAGCTGTCCTGAACTCAGTCTGCAGACCAGGCTGGCCTCAAACTCAGAGATCCACCTGCCTCTGCCTCCTGAGTGCTGGGATTACAGGCGTGCACCAATACGACTGGCAACTGTTCTTAATACATTTAACCATCATAAAAAACATCAGTAACATCATGGCAGAAAGAGAATGAGCCTAAGAGACAGGTAACCGAGGGGCTTGCTGTGGCAGCATCCACACGCCTACAGTTTTGGCACTTTAGAGGCTGGCGCAGAAGGATTATCAAAACATTGCTAGTTCAAGGCCCAAGTATGCTACATAGTTAACCCAGGCCCTAACAAAACACTAAGATTTACTTCCATGGATAAAGCCAAACATTGGGCTGGGATAGAATACTTGTCTAGAATATATAAGATCTAGATTTGTTTCCCAGGACTGGGGACTGGGGGAGCACGCCTCGGGGACTGGCAGTACTCGCCTGTAATTCCAGCACTTGGAAAAGGAAGGCAAAGTCACGCTAGATTACTCAGTGAACTCAAGGAGAGCCTGAACCATGAGACTGTCTCATACAAATAACAGAGTAGACTTGTTCATCAGAAAACTTTCCTCGCATCTATTTAAAATGTCTTCAGTAGCTAAGCCGTGATGGTGCAGCCTGTAATCCCAGGATTCAGAGGTAGAGGCAGGTAGAGCTCTGAGTTTGAGGTCATTCTGATCTACAGTCTTGAGTTTAGGACAGCCAGGAAAGAGACCCTTCCTTGAAAAACAAAACACAGAAAAAAAACAAGTATCTTCAGTATATATTATCTTGTAATTCATGTCCGAGATCCATACATTCTTTTTTTTTTTTTAAGATTTATTTATTTATTATTTATAGAATGTTCCCTCTGCATGTGTGCCTGTATGCCAGAGGAGGGCACCAGATCCCATTACAGATGGTTGTGAACCACCATGTGGTGCTGGGAATTGAACTCAGGACCTTTGGAAGAACAGCCAGTGTTCTTAACCTCTGAGCCATCTCTCCAGCCCCATACATTCTTTATGTGTGGAGAAGCCAAGTTTAAGTTAGGTGAGTTCTGACACTACAACTGACTCTCCTGCTTAAAGGGAAATTTTCTTCTCAGGATTTTGGGACCTTCCCTCCCTATCTAAGCCAAACTTTGAAGTCTCTTTAATCAAGCATCTACACTATCACAGATCATACAAAAATGCACATCTACCCCAGATGAGGATATATAACCCAATGGTGTGTCTATTGTATATAGGCTGACAGCTTGCCTATAAATGCTATATAGCAAGTCCTTGGCAGTCTATTGTCATCACTGACTTAAAAAACAAACAAACAAATCACTGGATAGTGAAGCCAGGGCCCAAATATTAGCCAGATATCTGACACACAGCTACACATCACAGGCCCAAATTAATGTTGAATTACCTCTACTTTCTTTTCCTTCACTCAGGTATCAATATACTATCTCTTTATCACTAACTGTAACACTAAACTATAATGCTAATAACAATTTTCGAAGAACTATTTCTCCCCATGTACAACACTTACAGACATATAATTATTTGTTTGTTTTTCGAGACAGGGTTTCTCTGTGTAGACTTGGCTGTCCTGGACTCACTCTGTAGACCAGGCTGGCCTCAAACTCACAGAGATCCACCTGCCTCTGCCTTCTGAGTGCTGAGATTACAGACGCCAACTGTATATACACTATTTTTAAATTAATGTTTTTAGGAAAGGTTCTCAGGCTGGCCATGGCAGCACATGCCTTTAGTCCCTGTACTCTGGAGGCAGAGGCAGGTGGATCTTTATGAATTCAAGGCCAGTGAGTTCCAGGACAGCCAAGGCTACACAGAGAAACCCAGCCCCCCACACACACACACACACATAAAAAAAACAAGAACCTAAAAGACGGGGTCTCACATAGCTCTGGCTAGCCTCTAACTCCTGATCCAATACACAGCAAGGTTAATCTTAAACACCTGATCATCCTGTCTCCACTTCCTGACTAGGTCTCAAGTAGATACCTCTACTTCTACCTATTTGTATAACGCTTTAAAACCTCGCCAACACAATTCATTTGGCTCTTATTACAAGGAGAAGGGGCTATTTAGATTTAAGAGCCATTTACCTAACTACATTCACCCTGCCTAAACTTGTTTAGATGCTGACTAGAAGAGCCAGCAGGATGGTTCAGTATGTGAAGGTGCCACTAAATCTGATCCCAAGACATAGGGTGGAGAAAACAGACACCTGCAGGTTTTCCTTTGACCTCCATAAGGGCGCCATGGCAAACAACACCCTCCCCCACAAAGATAAGTATAATAAGAATAATTTTTAAATGTAAATAGAAGCCATAAGAGGTGAAATTTAAATATTAATTATTTTGTTGTTGTTCATTCTTTTGCAGCACCAGGGAACAAATTCAAGGTTTCAGGGCTGGGACGACTGCTTAGAGGGAAGACACCTGCCAAAGCCTAATGACCCAGATTCCATCTCTAAAGCCCCATAACGGGAGGAGGGAACTGACTCTCAAATTGTCCTGTGACCTCCCCTCACATGTTGAGACACACACCCTCACACACATGCAGACACAATAAATAAATATTCTACCATTGAGCTGCATTAGCCACAAAAATTGTAAGTTTGTAGATATAACAATGATATTGTGGGGGCTGGAGAGATGGCTCAGCAGTTAAGAACACTGTTCTTCCAAAGGTCCTGAGTTCAACTCCCAGCAACCACATGGTGGCTCACAACCATCTATAATGAGCTCTGGTGCTCTCTTCTTGCCTGCAGGCACAAATGCAGGCAAAATACTGTATAAATAATAAACAAGTAAACCTTGCAAGAAAAACTGATATTGTGATCATGTTACAGCCTTCTACGCCCCAGAAAAAAAGACTACTTATCTACAGAAACACTTTCCCCCTTTTTGATTTTTAAGGCAGTGTCTCCTTGCAGTCTAGAATTCACCAGGCAGGCAATGCTGACCTTGAGCTCCTGATCCTGTCTCTACCTCCCACGAAGCAGAACTGCAGGCTTGTATAACCACGCCCAGAACTGCAGAAATATGTTCTGAAGCATTTGTCAGTGAAATTGTAAAAGAACTAAACTTATTTAAGACATTCCAGGACAGGGAGGAGAAATATTTGGGGGAAAGGGAATGGATTAGAGAAAAAGCAAGGGGGGGAGGGGAGAAAAGAAACAGCTAGTGAAAAGAGAAAGTAAAACCTGGGAAGGAAAAAGATGAGGGAGGGAAAGGAAGAAAGGAAAGGAGGGAAGAAAGCTGTGGTAACACCATCCTGAGAGGCAGAAGCAGAAGATCTAGTCTATGTGGTTTTTGTTTGTTTTTTCAAAACAGGGTTTCTCTCTCTGTGTAGCCCTGGCTATTCTATAACTCATTCTATATAGGCTGTCCTATAACTCAGAGATCTGCCTGCCTCTGCCTCCCAAGTACTGAGAGTAAAGACATGCACCACCATCGCACAGATTAATAACCACTTATTTTAGAAGATTAAAAAAAAAAAAAACATTCAAAAAAGGCCTCTGAGGTCCAAGTAAAGGCACAAGCCTATGATCCCAGTACCTGAGAGGCTAAGAAAGGAGAATAAGCTCACAATGAGTGAAAGTGAGAACCTTCTAGAATAAAAGAGAACACTAGAGCCCAGCAGTGCTCGCTCTCCTCTCTCACTCACACACACACAATCAATTTAATAAATAAATTTAAAACAAAACAGCATGGCCTTTCACTACTGTGTTTCTGTTAGACCAAAACAAGACTTCCCATAGACAAACTCAAGAGTCCCTTTTCAAACATCTATACTTCTCTACAAGATTAGTTATTAATTCTTGGCAAAAATGTGTGTTAACAGAGCTAGAGAGCTGGGTCTGCAGCTAAGTACTGGCTGCTCTTCCAGAGGACCTGGTTCAATTCCCAGCACTCACATGGTGGCTCACAATCATCTGTAACTATAGCTCCAAGGGATCCATATCCTCTTCTCACCATGGGCACCAGGCACACAGGTGGTGCATAGAAATACATGCAAGAAAATGCCATACACATAGAACAGTAAAATAAAATA